TGACGAACACTTTCTTTCGTCATAAGAAGATTCACATGTATACTTGGGAAAGAGGTGATGATAGAAGCATGATAGATTTCATAACTGTGGATGAAAGAATGAGGAGCGCAGTCGTGGATACAGGGGTTTACCGGGGGTCCAACGTAGGGACGGACCACTACCTGGTCTTATGCCGAATTAGGGGTTTATTCAGATGTTGGCGGCATAGGACATCTGTGTCTACCACTGCGTTACAGCGTATAAGAATTGAGAGATTACAAGATGAAGATGTGAAAGACAAGTACAAATGCAGACTGAGAGAAAATATAAGTAATTTGGATGAGTTGTGTGTGAATGAGTTAGACTTGGAGAATGTGTGGCATAATGTTAAGAAAGGTTTAGTGGATGCAGCTACCGAAGTATGTGGTATTAGTAAGAGAACGAATGAAAGGAAAGACAATACGTTATGGTGGGATGATGAGGTACGTATGGAAGTTGAAGCAAAGAAGAGAGCATGGCTAGATTTACTAGCGACCAAAGCTGGTAATTCTGGCGGTAAGAATGATGAGAATGAAAGAAAAAAGGCTGAGTTTAAACGTTTAAATAAGAGAGTAAAAGAATTAGTTGAAAGGAAAAAGCAAGAAAGAACGGATAGGAATGATAGAAGAATATCGGATAACTTCCAGGCAAATATTAAAATGTTCTGGAAACTCGTAAGAAATACCAGGGGACTTTCAAAACAGCCTAGATTGAATGCGATACGAGACGAGAATGGCTGTATCCTGAATGATGAAGTGTTGAGTCTAAAGAGATGGAAGGAATATTTTGAAAGCGAATTTATGAGTGAGGAGAAGTGTGAACTAAATGAAATAGAAATTCCGAAAGACGATGAAAGAGATAGGGAGATAAGTATAGATGAAATAATGAAAGCAATGAAAAGCATGAAAGTAGGTAAGGCAGCCGGATATGATAGAGTTTCACCCGAAATGCTAAGGGCTGGAGAGGACGTGGTGGCAGGCCTGCTGTACACCTTGTTTAATTTATGTTGGGAACTAAAGCGGGTACCGGGAGACTGGTGCAAAGCCGTGATAGTCCCAATATATAAGGGAAAAGGGTCACAGCAGGACTGTAAAAACTACCGTGGTATCAGCCTTCTTAGCATTGTGGGAAAACTGTATGCTAAGGTACTAATTGAAAGAGTTATGAAAGAAACTGATGAAAAAATTTGGGATGTGCAAGCGGGATTTAGAAAGGGAATGGGGTGTACAGATCAAGTCTTTTCCATGCGCATGATCGCGGAGAAGTTTTTGGCGAAAAACCAAAAAGTTTTTTGTGCGTTCATGGACTTGGAAAAAGGCTTATGACAGAGTAGACAGGGATGTGTTATGGCAAACGCTGAACGCATTTAGGTTGAGCGCTGGTTTGATACAGGCATTAAAGTCTCTGTATAGGGACTCGAGTGCTTGTGTTAGAATCAACGGGGTCTACTCGGACTGGTTTGGCATCCATAAAGGTGTCAGACAGGGCTGTGTAGCTTCCCCGTGGCTGTTCAACCTATTTATGGACAGTTGTTTGGAAAATTTGAAAGTTGAAGAATGCGGGTTAAGAATGGGTGAGTTAACCATCAAATGCCTTTTGTACGCCGATGATCAAGTCATACTTGCGTCGTCGGCGGCCGAGTTGAAAATGATGGTTACATTAATGAACAGGTCATTAAAAGAAAGGGGAATGAAAGTGAACGCAAGTAAGACGAAAGTGATGGTTTTTGAAAGAGATGAAAGCAAAACGGTATGTGAAATAAGAATAGAAGGAGAGTTAATTGAGCAAGTGGATGAGTTCGTATATTTGGGATGTGTATTCAGCAGGGATGGGAGATATGATAAGGATATTGAACGAAGAGTGAATGCAGGAAATAAAGTAAATGGGGCTCTACACTCTATTGTGAAAAGTCAGAATGTGTCAAAAAAGGCACGTATGGCAATTCACAGTGCTGTATTAGTCTCTACTTTAACGGATGGTAGTGAAAGTTGGGTGTGGCAGAAGAAGCACGAGAGTAGAATAAATGCAGTAGAAATGCGGTCGCTAAGGAGTATGTTAGGGCTGAATCTGAGTGACAGGGTGAGAAACTGTGTGATAAAAGAAGAGTGTGGTTTGCAAGATGATGCGGTGACCAGGATTAAGAAAGGAATGCTTCGGTGGTTTGGTCATGTAGAAAGAATGAATGCGGAAAGACTGACAAAGCAAATATATGTTGCAGAAGTGAATGGAAGAGTCGGAAAGGGACGTCCTAGGCGGAAGTTTGTCGACCAAATTGGCGATATACTAAAAATGGGATGTATGGGATGTGGAAGAGGCGAGAAAGGTATGTCAGGATCGTGCTAAATGGAAGTCTGTAGTCTCTGCCTACCCCTCTGGGTGACAGGCGTGAGTGTTTATGTTTATGTTATATATATATATATATATATATATATATATATATATATATATATATATATATATATATATATATATATATATTATTTGTATATCCTTGATGTTTTTGACAACTTTTACATAGTCGAATATTGTTGATGTTAATCAATTAATAGTATAGCGATAGTAGCCTAATGGCAGGGCGCGGATCGCGAACTCAAAAAGGTCGTGGGTTCGAATCAGACATTCGACTACTGGCGTGAACCACTCGTAACAAGCAATTTAAGATTACCACGAGTGGTTAAGGGAAATATTAGTAATGTATTAAATGCATTGTTAATATTCTTTTTTTTTAATAAAAATATAAAATATTAATAAATATATAATGCCTTTGTATTTATTATTTTTTAATTTAGTATATATTTCTTTTCAACTGGAGCCGATTAATGCTGTATAATATATAATAATTTCTTTTTTTTTTCATTTAACATAAATGCAAAGATAACAAAATGCTGACCGAAATATGGAAATATAGTTTATTGACCTTGAAGGTATAGTCTTATCTCATATCTCTTATTATTAAAAATGTCCTTTTATTTATAACAAAATTCAAAATGGACTTGTTTCTTTGGCTATATATTGTTTAAATGTAAATGTAAATCAATACATACATAAACAAAGTCCCCACAAGCTATTTATATTGCAATAAATAAAATAAAAAACATTGATATGAGTTATTATTTAGTTAACACACCTTCTCAATATTCATTAACTTCTTTTGAGGTGGATCGCTTAGAACAAATCTGTATGCCTTGCAGGCTGAAAGCTTGCAGAGCTGCCAGTAGGCAGAGACAAAAAAAGTGTATGGATATTGAAAACATCAGTCTTATGTCATGACAACAGACATCAGTCTTACGTTATCTCTTATCATTTAAAATTCCCTTCTGATTCCTAACAATATCATAAATGGACATGTTACCATAAAGTTATTTTGAAAAAATCTTTTGAAATGATGATGATTGAAAATCTATCTATATAAAACAGAAATGTTTATGCCTATGTCCGTTATAAACTTTGAAACCATCCAACCAATTTTGATGAACATTTTTGTGTGTGTTTGAATAAATCTCTAGATGGTTTATATTTAAATTTGAACCCGGTAGATGGCGCTGTTGTCGAGATCCATAAATCAACAGTGCGAAACACAAACAGTTAAAAACATTTTACTTCCTCACTATTTATCAGAGTGTTATAACATAGTTAAGCATGATATTACCTAGTTATTTTGATATGTTATTACACAGTCATTTTATTACGATGTACGATTATTTACTAATTAACCAAAATATATTAAAACAAAGTCTTGACACCGCTCTTGTCTGTCTATCTCAATCAATCATCAAAGTTCCAAAACTTTATAAAAATAAGTTTGCATAAAAAGGGTTGTTATAATAAGGAATTTATGGATGATAATAATCCCTGGGTAAGGTGATCGCTACCAAGCTATTTTTAATTTATTCTGTGTTGTTAATTTTAACATACATGTTTGTAAGATGTTATGTAAAAAAGTGCAACTGGATTTTTTGCTGGTTCTTCCCAAGACAGAGGTTTTTTCCGAACCAGTGGTAAATTAAAAAATTGACTACAAGTAGTATTTATAATCTATATCGAATAAAAAGTTTCTGTTTCTATACTACTATTATCATAGAAATTATGATTTACAATAATAAATAGAGTAGTTACATTATATTTTGATTTTTTGTAATACAACCAGTTTAAAACATATTTCTTACCGTGTGTTGGTAAAATTTGTTTTTAAGTTATCGTTAGATTCATATTTTAGTTGTAAATATCTCAGTACTCCGTTTAAATGCAGAAAACTAATAATACTATAGTAATTTACAGATTATTAGGAATAAATCGACATGCATTTTATTGAGAATCCTTAAAATTTGCGGTGGGCCCATTCTCCATACAAAAGAAAATGTCTCCTTTGAAATTGCAACCTTCCTATTTTTACTTCTAAATTATAATATTCTTAAAATAAATTATAACTTTCCAGTATCTCATACAAAAATAAACATTATTTTTAACAAAACTTTCTGCGTGGTCTGTCACCAATAATAATATGTAAGTGTTTTTCAGTCACGAATTTCAGTCACGGCGGTCAGCCTCAACGGAGAGTAGCCATAGGCGCAGTACAGGATTACAGTGCCTCAGTGTATGCGCAAGCACAGGTGCACTCACTATTCCCTCACTCTCGTAATCCGATGGGACAGTTCACCGACACTACCGGAGAGAGATCAGGCGCAGGACCAACGGCTTTACGTACTTTCCGTGGCACGGGGAATAGACAGCGCCAATTTCCTGACTCCGGGTAGCTACTGAGAATTTCTAGACGGAAAAACTCAATAATCGATTTTTGGCCCGACCCGGGATTCGAACCCAAGACCTCACTATCAGCAGTCGCCCCCTACTACAACCACTAGACCGACCAAAAAAATTAGGTTAAAGATTTACTACTTTACTATACTTTATTACTGCTAATGGCTACCACCACCAAGTAAGTTTATATTAAGATAATTTTAAATCAATAAATTACAAAATACCTGTAGTATCCGTCTCGATCGGATTTGGCGCTGTGCTGCCTTTCGACACCAAGTCGATGAGGCATCGGTAGGGTGGACGAGCGACTTCCACCTCCTGAGCACTGTGAAGCTGGACCTATTTTAAAAAAAAATTTTGAAAAACCTGCTTTAGTTTGAAATCCTTTCTCGTTATCATTTATCTCAAATACGTAAATTAGATGTTGTCTTCTCGTATTGTTTTTATCATTAAGAAGTCTAGTAACATCGCTCTCTCCTAAACGAGGTATAAAAAACGTCAAAGTTTTGAAAACAATTTTGTGAAGTTTGTAAACATAAAGAATAAGTCATGGTGTTAGTTTTTCTTATAAAAAGAGAGCTCACTTTTAGAAAGAGGGAATAGTTTGATTTATTAAAATATATTATAAAACCTATGTATCAGATTTAATAGAAGAATCAGCGCAATATCGTCTGCATTCAGTTTTTATATTTTTTAAATTACAGGTAAGCCTAACTATAGAGTATTTGTTCTGCTTAAACTTTTATAACTGTTAGAGTGGCTAGTGAATAGGTAGCGTGTACTTCGTGCATAACCTATCCAATTTGTCATTTGTCTTTGTAGAATTTGGAAAATCCGTCAATACAAGTTATCTGAAATTAAGTCTGAACTTAACATAACGAAGAGTAATTAAAAATAAAATACTAATAAATAGTAAATTGTTACTACAGAGGCTATTTAAATCTTAGATTGAAACAGTTTTAATTAAAAAGTTTATCATCCACATGGAAACGAATGCATATATCTATCACCTCTCCGTATCAGGAAATAATCTATTTACTCGCTATTTACTTAGACTTAGTAGGACATTTTGTTATAATAAAGTCGTAGCGTCTATTTATACTTTCGGAACCGTCCAATTTTAATAAGATTGTCGCTAAAGCTTTATAACTTTCACTGTCAAGTGCTTTCTTAAGACTTACAAATGACAATACATGTCTTGCAATAATTCATTTTTACCTATGAAACTGCAATTCTGCGTTACTGGCCATTTCAAATCAAAATATTTTTTGTTTCGCCAAGAATTCTAATTTCAAATTAATTCTAAAAAAGAACTCTATTCAAAATTGGTAATTTTTTAATTGATAAGCGTTTTTTATCATCATATTTGAATCTTTTCAGTCATCATGGATACGTTAAAAATTCGAGTAATAACGGACTATGAGTATGTACGTCGTGGCAGTACTGCGCCATGAGCGGCGTGCAACATCATCAACATTTACGGAGCGAATACTATATATGAATGCACCACGTATTATTGGTTTGCCCGCTTTCGTTCTGGAAATTTCTAAATCCGTCATTATTGCTTTGGGCTTTATAATCTCAACAAAATATTTTACTTTTGTTACAACAGGCGTTGCTAATGACTGTTTTAAAGGATCTAATTTGATAAATTTGCTAAATGAATCTTATATAACAAATTTGAAAGCGTACCCAAAGGCAATGATAGTGTATATTATAAAGGAGGAAAGGAAATTAATATACACTACACTATCACTGCCCAAAGGTACCTGATGCCATAGGTCCATATAAGTCTGCCATGACTATATCTCCTATATTTTCTGTTGTAGATTTTCATGGACCCACATGTATTACATTACTTTGGATAACTGGCATAAATGACATACTCATTACATAGTCATGGTCTACAACTATGGTCGACTATGATGAATTAAAGGCGATTGTGAAAGCTGACACTTAATCTACGGATTAGAAGCAGTTTTTGACATTAGCATAAAAACAATATTGTTCCATTTGCGTCAAATTGGCTGGGTAACAAGCTTGACAAATGGGTGACAACTCAATGATCGTCAGCGCAATGTACGTATCGAGACGTGCTTTGCAATGCTCAAGAGGCACACAAACGAAGGAATTTTGGAACGCATTGTTACCTGCGACAAAAAATGGATTCTGTTTGACAATCGCAAGCACTCAGTAAGTTGGTTGGATGCTGGTTCAGCGCCTAAACAATGTCCTAAACGAAAACTTACATCTAGAAAAGTGATGATCCCTGATTGGTGGTCTAGCGCTGGTGTGATTAATTACAGCTTCTTACTAAACCGGATAAGCATTAGTGCAGATGTGTACTATGAAGAACTGAACACAATGATATTGTTTTTTTTTTCTTGCTTGTTTTTGCGTATATTTTGCCTTTCTTAAGCACTACTTTTTTCGTTGTAATTTTCCACAAATCTGACCAATTTTTTCTACTTGCGTTTGATAAGCTATTTGAGTTCAACTGTGATTTTGCTGTCGATTGTTGGTTCGCGGTTAATTCATATATAATTGAAATATCATTTGAATATCACAAAATTTTTCTGGCGTTACTCATAATCGCCTCTTCAGATTTGAATTATTTTGCGCAATCATCACACAATCATATTTATACGAATTTAAAAACATAATTAACACTTGAGTAAGAAATAAAAGAAATAGGTACATACGACAGTTAATTCAGAGCTCAATACTTACGCCTGCGTGGTGGATATGGGCTCCGCTGATTTGATGGCGGCATATTGTCGTTGTACTCTGCACGAAATACCAATATTGTAAATATCACAATGACATTATAGTATATGTGCGTGAGTTTGCGTGTATGTAGGTAGTATGGTGACTTAGTTATCTTTTCATTCTTTATGATGCAATGATTAAAATTACTAAAACTTTTATTACCAGAGACCAGCTTTTGCTTTGATTTGATATAATATATATATTATATATTTATATATATATATATATATTTTTTTTTTTTATCATATTAAATAACTAATAAAATTCCAATGCTGGTCTATATTACTACACCTACACGAAAGGTTTTTCGGTAATCGCCATGCTTGTCAGTTGTTCATGTAATTGTAATTTTTTAGTTGTAATTAGAAAGAAGCTGCTGCCCATCTCCTGGTTAGTTTAGTTCTGCAGCTTTTTAGGATATCTACAGGATGATATGGAATAGTTGATATTCCTATACCGTCACTAGGTACATGGACTGAGAGAGTTGATTAGTAAATGTTATGATAAAATAAATGCTACAAAATCAGTTAAATTAGTTTAAATCAATGTTCAGTATTCGCTTCAAAAAAGAAGTCATACTGGATAAGTTTTAAATAAGTGTAGCTCTAGCGCATTCAATGCAATTTTTTTATATTTGCTATATATTCGAACTTATATGTACATTGGAACCCCGGTAAACCGGCTCCTGTCTAATCCGGCACCCCCTGTAATCCGACATGGTCTATTATTGATTATTGAATAATTTTTAACAATCTTCGCTAATGCATTATTGAAAAAGTTATAACTTGTACGCACCCATTATATTTTCATGCTTCTTAAATTGATTCATTCAAAATTTTTGATTATATTAGTATGTAGGTACATTTGTTTGTACACAATTCTTTTCTAATGTAAAGTTATTGCATATTTTTTGTAAGTTCTATAGCATTAATGACGCTAATTTTATAATAAAACATAAGCTCTCTAGTGTGTTAATTTACTAAATTATGATTTGTACGTCAGAGTACATAATATAACATAAAGAATCTTATCATTGGATATGTAATTTGTCGGATTACAAAATACCCTTTTGCAAAAAATTCCAGACTCAAGGGGGTCTTAGGCAGTACTCTGTAATCCGGCAAATTCTATAGTTCGACACTGCCTTACAAAATGTTTGTCGAGTTACCGGGGGTCCACTGTATATATATATAAATATATAAATAGGATACGACAACTTTCCTGCTGTGGCTTTGAACTAGCACAAGATGATTTTAATTAACTAACGGATAAGCTATGATTGAAATTTTAACACCGAAACTACACGAAGAAAACGTTATGTGGAGCACACAAATGTCGTTATTATGCAGACTCTGGCCACTAATAAAAGACGGTAGCTCCATTTGAAAATGCTGACACCTAATTACCAAAGAACGGTTTGGACAGCAACTCACCAACAGTGAGTCCAACGTATTGAGTATGGGTAAATCATTCAGTGATTTCGTCAACTCGCAGATTTTTGATAGACGCAAGCAGTAGCAATTCGAAAGGTTGATAAGATAATAAGATAAGGTAGTAATTTTGATTTCTATATGGTGGGATAAAATATATTACAATAGTATAAGCCCGCAAGGAGTCAAAGAATGCATGCGGCTTAGGACCGAGTTTAATTGTGATATATGAGGTAAATTTAGGTTTTTATTTAACCTTTTCAGAAATAAGGGGAGGCCAGTGCCCAGCTGTTTGACGTATATATATTTTACTTTTAATTTACTATGTTCTTATGGAATTTTGTTGAACTGTTATTACAAAATTATGATGGTGTATGACTGAGTATTAGTGTATATGTAAAATAAAATCAAAGTGATTTTAGGGACTTTTTAAATAATAGTCCACCTGTATATAATCACCATTTAATCTATTTTTATGTTAGACTATGTGTGTATCTTGTAGAAGTTACTTTTTTTACATATTTTAGTATAACATTGTACCGATTTTTATTAAAAAAATTACCTGTATCCAGCACCATTAGCCCCTTATCGCATTTATAGATTATTCGTTACACTAATTCTTTCTAAAAATATTTCAAAATTAATTTACCTAGATCTTCCATGCTTTGAGTCAGCAAGGCTTCGAATGTGTGTAAGCTGTAGCTTTCCGCATCCATGCCTTTTGCTAGAGTGTTGCGAAGATGCATCTCGTATTCAAGGAGTAGACGTGAGGTGGGTGAACCTGGAGCTGGTGTTGTATTGGATTGTGATGCCTGACGTGATAGGCATGGCTTTTGCTGTCAAGTAAATGGGTTCATAGTTAGCTAAAGTTATGATTATAAAAGCTTAATTTTGTTGTTTTTATTTTATGTTAACAACACTTCATTCTTTAAAATCGAACATGCCGTGTAGGCACATAAAGCCACAAAAGAAACAAACGTACATCTCTCCATGCAGTTAAGGAAAGATTAAATTTAGTAATTTCGCTAATGTGTAGCCATTTAATTGATAAACATCATTTAATTTAATAATAAAATTTGTTAGTTATTATACAAGCTAGCACAAGATGGGGTTGCTGCATATCATCATCATCATTACATTTCAAAATCCAGTGCTGAATATTGGCGTCTTCCATAGATTGCCTACTAGATGGGATATTTGCCATAGTAGCCACACCTTGTAGTATTATTCTACACCGCGGTTTTATATTATGTAGAATTGTCACCAAAAACACTGCTGCTTATATGTTGCAGATTCCATCTGTCGCTTCTTAAATTAAACATAAGTATTCAGATATCAATCAAATTCATTTTGTAAAAGAAAAAAAGGCAACCTGAATTCCTATCAATCGATCATTTTTACATTAGAAAATGATCGATTGACTATCACAAACTTGATCATTATTAAATTATCAAGTTTGTGATAGTCGGAATCGAAGATGTCTCAGAATCGAGATGGTTGCAAAGTTCTAAAATAATACAAACATTATTGGTTTTCTAGTCTGGATACCGATGGTGTACTCGTAAAAGTGACATTACACGCAAATTTGTAAGATTTTATGGAATCATTTTTCAAACAAGGAAAATTTACCACATGATGATGCTGTCGAAGATCGCGACGTTGACACGGCTCTTGATCAGAATTTCCGTTTGAGGACGACGGCGTAGTGGCGTAGCACTGGTTGTCAAACATTACGTTATCCGAAGGTGGCGAAAGGTCCCGTTCCCCGCCTCCTAGTTCTAAGTACAGACCGCGCCCTGGATAGCCGCTCGGTGCAGCGCCCACGCCAACCCCACGGCTGCGCATGTTTTAGTAATCAATATTGACAGCTGTGTGAATCACCTGGTATAATGTATTTCTATGTGTATTTATATAGGGTATAACTATTTCATTTGTGTATTAATGTCTATTATCTTCTTTTTTAAACGACTTAAAAAGAATAGGTTTAATATTTTTCAAAAAAAGATCATAAATGATTTATATTACATGTATTATAAATCAATATTGTTGTTATATGATAGATGTAACTTACGTTTATCACATTTACTTAAAAAACGAGTATAAACATGCTTTTGTCTTTTATGTGGATTATTTATAACGTCTAAATTAATTTTACAAATAATGCTTCTGTAGGTTTTTTTAAGTTTACCAGTCTACCTAATGCTGAGCCTACAACCAACTTCTAAATAAATAATAAGGTGGTGCCAAATCAAAAGACCTCCAAGGTAGAACAGGATCTCAACATTATACGTAGCCCATGTGTTTTTAATTTCATGAAGTTTTAAGTCAACGTCACGAGTATAAAGCAGGTAAACAAGTCACCATTTGATTTGTATGATTGATGTTAGGCGTTTATGATATCCAACATCTGCTATAGAGTTATAGAAATTACTATGCTCTCACAAATTTACTGGCTATTTGATCAATGATAAAAATAGTGAAAGTAAGGACATTGGTTATGCACCAGTGAGCAGATATGAAATAGTATAAAGAGTAGATAAACTAGTCGCAAAAATGTGAGTCGTGCAATCAGTCATTAAATAAAAATGTCTAAGACATGACTTTTTGTATTAATGTTACCTTGCTGAGGAATACCGTTGCGAGCTCTGTCGGGTATTGTTGTTAACCACGTGCGAATAATGTCCATGGCCATGCATATGCTGCAAGTTACGGTGACCATACGATCCACACGACGGGGGGCAAGGCCCTGTGCCTCCATACCGTCGGCGACCCATTTCTGGAGATGTTACGGGGCTTTCTGTTGACGGCATCGGCTTAAGCATACGTTTAAGTGTGTTAGAATCTGAAAGAGAATAATAATATATTTCTTTAATTTTGCTTTTTTATTACATACATTCTCAATCGTATTTAAATCCGATGTGATGTAAGCACAATTCACTTAATTCATTAAAGTGTATTACTTGATCTTCGAACAGTAGGTTTAGAATACTAGTGAGATCATTTAAAATATAAATATTACTTAGAGAATGAAAACTCTGGAATTTCAATACATTAATGAAATGAAATGTAATGAAAATAAAAGTAGTTTTACAAAAATAACTGATATTCATTCTGTTAATATTACAACAGACACAGGCAAGTAGTACCAGTTACTCAACTTCACCGAGTCGGTAATTATTTCTTGGGGTGATATATACGCTTTTAGAACAAAATCCCAGTAAATATACAAAATTTGACCTACCTGAAGTACAAAAACTTTATTAACTAAGTTTTTATAAAAAGGGTTATTATAATATTAAGGAATCTATGGATGATAAAACCCCTGGAAATGAGGTGATCGCTACCAAGGTATTTCTAACTTGTTTTGTGTTGTTAATTTTATAACATACGAGTACATAATTCTAAGCTGTTATTTTTAAAGTCGCGCTGGGATTCCTCCTGGGTTCGTTGTTGGACAGTAGTTTTTTTTTCTAAACCAATTTTAATTAAATAAAAGAGTGACTTTTAGTAAGTATTATTTATAATCTATATTAAATAAAGATGTTTCTGTTTAGAAAATGTAGACCCTAAAGCTCTTGTTGAATGATTTTCAAAATAAAATGAAAATGCAATCTAAATCGCGAGGATCAACAAACAACAGAAAGACTGTTACGTGTATGCAACAATGCTGCACAGGAATGGCACCTGCAGCGTCAGAAGTCTTGGACATTTGATAGGGAGGTTAGTCAGTTTCCTCAGAATCCTTCAACAGGTCGCTGCAAATATATTTCTAAATATTTTATTATACCACTTTACGAGTTCATTTTAATTAACTTCTATTTGCAATAAATTAAGCGTAATGAAATTATAGAGGTCAAAAAACATGTGTAATCGATTACATATCATATGCCCAACACCCATTTTACTTAATCGATTCCATAAAACGAAATTCGTTGAAAGAGTTTTCATTGAAAATAGATATAATAAAAAAGGTTGCGAAGACTGGAAATAATACTGACGCATATGTGATACGTCAAACGGGCTACTTTGAAGGCGACACAATAAATTTGGATAACTGAACGAAAATTGAATTATTTAATAATAATCGGTGTGCTTTCTGACAAAGCATTACATACCCATATTCATGTCTTCCGTGCTCTTGGATTTTGTTCGACGCGATCCCGAAGTATTATTGTTGATGACATTATGGTGATGCATGGTATGTTTATCCGACTCACGTGACTGGAAGTTATGACAAGAAATTGATTTAAATAAGGGAAATAAATAAATAACAAATCCATACATAAAATAAACTTTTCAACTTACAGATTCGTTACCATCACCGTAGTCGACACTCTTGGGCATGTGTTGCAGATGCTCTTTTCCGGAACGTGTTGATGTTGATGACGATTTAGTGGTAGTCAGTGTTCCCCCAGCTTGAACACCCTCGGATTTAAGGTCTTGACTATGTTGCGTTGCAGTACTGCCACCAGTGGGTCCTTGAGATTCGTCACTCGTCTGTAAAGTTCAAATATTAATTCATAATGAACGCTAATAAATTATTTAAGTTATTGTTTTCCTCTTTGTTCCCGCTTTCCCACTACTTTTCTTTCTGCCGCCACAGGTGGGGGGGGGGTGTTGGTGGGGTGTTGGGGGGGGGGGGTCGGTCATTTTTGTTTGGGTTGCATTTTTTTTTTTTTTAACAAACAATAGACCAGAAAATACTTGTAGTTAATAATAAATTCACACTTGTATCTGATACTTAAATTGTAATCCATGTCTTTTGTTGTTATAAAGTTGTGGTTTTAAAAATTAGTTTTTTTGGATACGTAACACATTTTAACGAATGCAGAAACCTAATTTTTGGTTTTAATAAATTATATTCTTAAAGTATTTCTTGAGAGTTTTTGCTAAATATTAAATAGCTAAAAATTTCTAATAACAGTTTACTAGTTCTGAGATGGTTACTTACATTAGTGCCATGTGTACCAACAGAAACAGTGACAGTTTTGGGTGCTGTAGATGTGTTTGTAGTCATCGTAGAAGTCTCCTGCGATTTCGGAGGACGTGCCGGTGGCTGACTCTCAGTCTGGCGAGCGGCCGCTAAAACAGTGAAAAATTAAAAACAAGATATTTTGACGATATATGAAATCTATTGGTCTATTTAAAAAATTATAATAATTCTTACGACTTACGAATATTATTTTTAGAAACCTTCAGTTTATAGTGGCCATATAAAATAAAAATATATTAAATTACTTTCTGATTTTATATCTACTCTAGGTTATTAGATAGTTATGAAATAGATAGATTTACAAGAAAGAGATGCATATTTTTAAAAGATATTTCAAATGATAATTGAATTATACAGATATTTAAAGACTTCTTCGCTCGATGTTCTTCTAAATTTTCTTAACGTGTAATTCTTTTGGAAATTGTACATATCAAGTTTTACTATCTGTAATAAGTAATAACTGTAATAAATAATATAATCTCGAAAACGATCAGCAGTCCAAATCATCATTGACGCCAAAAATTTTCTTCATAAGGGTTGTTCGAAATAGGTGCCGCACATAATTAGTGATAAAAAAAACTTGTGATTGACGCCTATACGTGTTAAAGAAATTCGACGGCTGCCAATAAGTACAAGCGGTTGCCTCATTTTTCAGCAAGATGGTTCATCTTCATACTATAATGCTAGAGGATCTAAAAATGTTTAACTCCGAATGGTATGTTGTATGGTATGCTTTGTGCCCCAAATGTATTATCAGTAAGGTAAGAATCAGTGTCGATCATCAGATCATCAGATATCAGTTAGGTAAGAAGTTCGGACCTTCTCTGGCACGGAACAACGGAGCACACACGTCTACCAGAACACTCGATTTTTTTAATACAAAATCTTGTTTATCCTACCTTATCCACTATATTCCTCTAAAAAATGTAATTTAAAAATATTTCTAAAAATCAAATAAGAATTGAAATGCAAGTGGTTTGCGAGCAAAGAGGGCACACTGGCTGCTTATTATTTATAGATTTCTGAGATGTCTAAAGAACAGCAGTCTAAGACATTTCTAAGTAGTTTATATTAATATGTGCCCATGGTGAATGCTTAGGGAAGATAGTATCATAATTATTTATTTTAGTGGTGTGAAATAAAGATTAAATGTTATTTGAGTATCTACTTTTCTTCGGAAAAACCCTAGTAAAATGTTTTAAACAATAAAAAAGTCGGTTATAGTTATAGTAAACTATACATCAACATGGTGTACATATACGTAACTTCAGTTCAGAATTCAGTTCAGTTTCAGAATTTATTTAAACGGTTTTTTATTAATATTTATTTTAGTGACACGTTTCTATGTAAGCATTTCAAGTGTTTCAAAATTGTTAATTAATATTTTTTAAATGGTTAACATTACTACTATTTTTAAAACAATTAAATATTTTTCTCAACATAAATATTGAGCAATCCGATAAAAGCCTTTTCTGGGTTTAATTTATATTGATTTATGCTATTTTGTGAAATATTTTTAGTATTATAAATAAGAATCATAAGTACTGAATGAGAGCCGTGGTAGCTCAGATGGTTAGTGGTCAGTAAATTTCATAGTACGCGGGCAATCTGGGTTTGATCCCCTTCGACATCACCGAAATTGCTAATTGTAATTTTAAGTGCTGATTTACCACGTGCTTGACGGTGAAGGAAAAAATCGTAAGGAAACCTGCATGTCTGAGAAATAAGAAAAAAAAATTCGAAATACATGTGAAGTTCGCTAACACGCATTGTGGCAGCGTGGCGGACACTTCCCTGCCCTAAAACCATCTCAGAAATGAGAGGAGGCCTGTACCGAGCAGTGGGACGTATATAGACTGTAACTTTAAGTACTGAATAGGTGGGTAGAACACACTTCAGGCACCACGGAATATTCGCCTTTCTGAAGAAAAAATTGCTATGAAGGGAAGCAATCGATTAAAATTTTGTATAAAACTTACGTTTAGGCGGTTGTTGAGTTGTAGGTTGCGAATTTGTGACGTTGTCGTATAGAGAAGTAGATGAAGTTGCTGCAGTGACCTTATCGGAACGGTTTGCTGTTCCACCAGCAGCTGCTGCGTCTGTTTCCATAGCGCGAGTGGCTGTGCGCGGTAGAGTAGATGAACCTATGCCATAGGAAGATTTAGTACTTACGGGAAAAGATTTTAGTTTTATTTACTCGGTTACTGTCCTTTAGAACTTACGATATCGCGGATCTTGGGCTCTTAGTCTAGTGTATTGGTCTTGAGTCATGCAGGTACATTGTGGCTCTCGACCGTAGGTTAAGCTGTAATTCGTTATAATATGTATAAGGGAAATAATTCCATTAACAATACAGAGTTGACAGCGTAAGATTTTTACCTTGAACGGTTCGGACTAGCTGGTGTGGATACTGGTTTCCTTTTGGTTTTAAATTTTTGCTTACTTCCCGGAGGTTCTAATTTTAAACTATAGCTTGAAGAAGCCTTCCGTGAGAATTTGAACGATGGTGACTAAAATCATACATAAGTAAAAACATTATCACCAATAAATAAAATTTTCACAAGAAAATCCTAGTGTGAGAAAATCCTAACCTAATATTTTTAAACCTAAGTTTTTTGAAGTCAATAATGCTCAAAATGAACACAGTAAAAATTACAATAATAGTTAATTTAATTTTTTTTTTTCATAATATAGCGTCTGGTTGTCACCATATTAAATTTTGATTACTGTTATGTCTATAGTGACACTAACAAGATTAAGACAAATCGATTAATGTTTGATAGAATTATTAAAATCGGCCTACGCGTTTGGTGTCTACAACTTCACAAAGGGACATATATATATATATATATATATATATATATATATATATAGGCTGATAAACACATTACTCTCCTTTGCGTCGCACAGTCGGGTAAAAACCTAGTCTGTATTTTCAGGTAGGTAAATTGAACATTCACATAATATGATTTTACATACTTTGGCCAACGAAAAACTAATAAAGTTGTCGAATTACGATACTTTTCTATATTATAATTTTCAAAACTATTTTACGAAGTTTATTAATGTATTTCATTTAATGTCCACCTTTGGAATAACTTTAGCAAATATGCTCATATGAGCAGACTGTATTTGTTTATTTTTTATTTATTTATTTATTTAGGAAAAATATATTAATTTGTTTAGCGCTATAGTATAATAATAACACTGTTGATATTTATGGTTTATATCATAACACAGGTAGTCTCATAATATATACTTACACAACATTCTCTAAATTGTTTGGCATCAATGGGAGAAGTAAAGTTCAAGCCCCAGGTATCATTCGTCATAGGATCTTTCCAGTACACGAAGCATTCCGAAGCTTGTCCTATCCGGGTTCCTGTAATGTCATCAATATGATTATATTTCAATTCTGTTTCATTTTACTTTTTTAACTATACAAGAAAGGCCCACTAGTGGATTTTGTCCTATTTTTATCTTTTTAATATATGTCCTATTTTATCTTTTATAATAAATTAATTACTGTATAATACCTGTTTTGGCATTACAATCTTGGACCGAAATGTTCAAAAGTTCTACGTGATGTAAATTAAAATACTGCCTTCGACGTGCGACGCTACGATGCGGGACTGCATAATATGTATTGATTACATTTGGGATAGTCTTGGATACCCATGTAGAAAGTCTTGAAGTAGGTGATGCGCTATGTAAACTTAATGAAAGTCGGTGAAGATGATACGGTTATGGCCTACGTTAGCCGGTAGTGTACTTTGAATAAAAAATCCTGATATTGTTGTGCCAGGAAAAAACAAGCAGATAAAGAATGATTGCTCGACGTCGCGAGATTTGATATGTAAGGCAACAGACTCACTACCAAGGACGCTGTAGATCAGGAAAAGCGGAGACGTGTGAGTAGGCAGTAGTCGGGATTAACGCTTAGAAAAAGAAAAAAGAAGCTTGTACAATTACGCGCATAAACCACACGCTGAACTCCAAATCAAAGTTTTAAACTCAAACTTTGCATTACTTATATAAATTTGAGTTTAAATAATTTTTGAGCGATTTTTGAGTGTTTTTGAGTTTAAATAGTTAATATGTAGGGGGACAGATTTCCTATAACTGCATCGCTTGGCTAGCGGTTTGGTATCCGCAGTTTTTTATTTTCTGATTGTTATTAAGAAGACACTGTTGATCCTCTTCTTGTGTATTTCTCTTTGTCACTTCTTACGACACCTACGGGATGATATAGGGTAGTGGATACTCATACACCGCCACTACATGATACTTATGAGCAAACTTATGACCATACAGAAAACCAGAGACCCTTTTTACTGGAAACGAGGCATTCCATCTTAGTCCTCACCGGTGACAAAGAATCAGTATTTTGATGTGTAATCGAGGTTAGATGTAGATGTCTATGGGCCGCAACAACCACTTACCATCAGGTGGACTGTGTGCTAGTTTGTCACCCTATCTTAAAAAAATTATTCATTTAAAAAGGATAATGCAAAACATTCGCTTATTTTCAGACATATTGCTTTGCTATTTAACCTAACAATAACTTCTGCGTACTGGAATGGATTTCGCTCGATAACACGTGTTACTATCCAGTGTAAATTTAAAACTGGGTTACAGCGGTGCTCAGATTATTTTTCGATTTACTTTCGTAAATGTTCTCTTACGACGCCAGAAAACAATAATTTGAATAAAGTTTTATAGTAGAAATACGTCTTACGCGAAACATCATTTGAGTTCCTAAATTATTGTTTACTGTTACTTCCCTTACGTATATAAATTTAATGATGGGAAATTTTAGCCACCCAAAGAAAAAATATTTAAGCATTATAAAAAAAAACTAAGGAAAAAGTTAAAACATCTGGCCGATTGTCTAGTATAAAATAAAATATAATTATCAGTCTCCCAAATTTATACAAAAATAAATTGACGAGGCAACAACTATATTGTTATTTATTTGAGATGCAGTAGTTCTTATGGTTTTGCTAGCTGGTAGGTCCTTTTTGTCTAGTAATCCGAGTGTATTTGCTTTTGTATTTGTTAAAAAAAAATCACAAGATCACTCAACATCTTGTATTACATTCATTTATTTCTTATTTCGTTACAGAAGCCTATAAAATGTTTTAATATCGGACATAGGCCTGCCTAGGATATTTACGACAGTTGTTACGCTTGGTCGGTTATCAACGGTAGTATTAATTGATTTGTCAGGAAGATGCCTAGACAGACATTGAGATTGAGATATTGAAGATGAAACCTCCTACAACACCCACTCGATGATATGGGACAAAAAACTACATTACTATGCATTTTACTAACCCTGCTTAGATCTATATTTTGTATTTTACCATTATAGGAGGATTAGTCTAGAACACACAGTCAACATCAATCCCACTAGTGTTACACTTTTGAATATATATATTGCATTATAATAATTGTTTTTGACTAAACTAATTTAATTCGAACATTAACAGTTTTGTTTTAATATTTGGATTAAAAGATTTATTGAAGTTATAATCAAGAATATTAAGGACTATATTCCCATCATAATGTTGTACTATTTCAAGATCAGGTAGAAAACAAAACAGTAGATTCAAACTATTACACTTTGGTTCACTTTACAATTTAAACGTATACACAATTCAACTTAACTTCACGTCTTATTGCGACGACTCGAGTTGGGCTAATGCCGCTCTCCATTTTCTAATCAACCTTTTGCACTTGTTAGCAGGGTGGGGCGGCATCATTTCCGCCCCAATCTTTTACAGAAATCAAAACATTATTCTTCCGGTTAAATTATATTACTTTATCTATTATCCGTAATCATTAATGTTAACAACTAATATTAATTATAATATAAAGTTAAATCGAGTAATTCTGTTATAAAAGATAATATAATAGTTATTAACCTAACATTAATCTAACAATAATAGTTACGCAATAATTGTAATCTAACAATTTTAAACTATTCTAGATAATCATAATTTGTAAATATAAATATCACCTCAGTGAATGGTAATTGAGAAACGTGTTCGTCGTAACTTTTAAGGAACATGAAATAACGAGTTAAATTGTATGTATCTAATTCCCCGCTGCCAGTAATTATAGGTACCTTTGCTAATGTAAAGTTATTCACACTCAGGTTTTTGTTACTTACACGAAGCACAACAGCAGTCCTAATTTAAGGATAGGTATATAGAGTATTCATAGACATGTTGGAGAGCTCCGATTTTTTTATAGAATAAGGGTGACAAACGAGCACAAAGTGTACCTGGTGGTAAATGGATACTGTGGCCCAAGGATTTGTACATTTATCGTCTATCAAGAAGATTGATACGATTCCGCCTCACGTTAGTTCGACCTTCATGTATAAAATTGTAGCTACTACAACATAGTGTTTTTCGTACTTTTTGATTGACTTCAAAAAGAGAAGGAGGTTCAAAATTGTGACTACACCTATATGTTTCTTTTTTATGTATGTTACTCAATATTATCGTCAATTGTGCAGAGATTTTAATGATATTTTTTACTAAACAGATTATATATAAACGGTGGTCTAATACAAATATGAAGAAAAAATTCTACCCCTAAAAGTGGAAAAATAGAGGTGAACTTTTAACCTACCAATTTAGACGACATTCGACCTTGCGATATACTTAGTCAACTCGCAAGCGTCAAAAAATTAGAGGTGACTTCAAAAAACCAACAAAAATAAAATATTTTCCACAAAATAATTTCAGTAGTTTGGGCTTCAATTCTACACACTATATCTTAGTGCCGACTTCTAAAGCTATGATGTGAAACTCAGAGAATTATTAGGCAGATAGTGAATATTATTTTCTTATATTTAATTATTCAAAATCTGTTTTCAGTGTTTATTAAAAGTCTAACTTTTATTCCGAAATTCCTTATATTTAAAACATTTGATAGGGGAGGCATGTGCTGAGATGTGAGACGTATTTTATAACTTTCATAGCTTTACTTTTTATTGCAAAATATATCAGGTTAAAAATAAAGATTTTTTGTTTTAAAAATTAAGAAATTTCTACCAGTTCATTGTATAAATAAAGTCTTCAGACTTCCTTACCGTTTTTAATTAAAAATCATGAAACGTTAATGCTGTGTTGCGACCTAATTAAATTTTGTTATATGTAATTTGTTTTACAAAATGTGCCACAAAATATTTTATATGTGTTAAATATTACAAATCTAAGTCTCTGGGATGGGAGAGACTATGTTATATTTTTGACCAAATGACAAGAGGGTGTCGGAACTTTTTGTCCATTTAGTCCACTTCGCTTGGCCTAGTTATCATGAAGAAAACAGTAAGCATTGCTCGAAAATTGACTTTAAATTACCTCAATTAGACAAATTGTTTAGCGTACCTGGTTGTAGTAGTCTGACGTCGAGGATCTTATCGACTTGCGAGTTGTAGGCTGTGATATGGAACACGCATTCAGGTGAGTCCTGTATGCAGGTGATGTTGACTGGCACGAGGTCCTCCGACACCTGCTGCCATTTTACCGTTCCTGCACCGCTTGCCGAAACGTGGAACACCTCAGCCCAAAGTCTGCAAATTAATGATTTACTTCCGTTTATCTTTCAAAACTTTTACCCAATAAGTATTTAAGTAAATAAAAAAAAATTAAATTTAAGTTAGTGCCAATTTATAAGATCAGTTATTTATATTTGTTTTTATAGAATTAAAGGTGACATACGAGTCTAAAGAAAGTGAGTGGAAAATATAGTTGACTTTGTGGCCCACACATACTTACATCTAACCTTGATTAAGAGTCAAAATGCAAATATTTTGTCATCCCTGAGTACTAAGATGGAATACTTTATTACCAGTGAAAGTGTTATCGCCACTCACCATACGAAACAAAGCATATTATGTCATAATAGCATTGTGTGAATTTTATTATGTTACCATTTACTTTTAAAGAAGCCAAATTTTAATTAAATTAATCTTCTGGCTTAGCTACTACTAAAATCTTAACGAACTATAAAAATATAACGAAATGCTTAATGACGCAATTCCGTACTAATCCTCACCGGTTTAACCTCATTGTTAATCTACAATATTGGACATTTTTCAATATAACACATTAAATATTACGCTTATATAGTTATATGAATATTGTATTTAGTAACGTATACCTATAAAATGAAGGCTATATGATATTCTAATTGAAATATTAATTTATTATATAATAATAATTTTTATACAATATATAATAAAATTTATTATACAATATCAATATAATTAATTAATGTTAATGGTATTGATATTGATTTACGCAAACACGCAATAAATTCAGAATATCAAAATTCATTTGAATTTGATAAGTGCACATTTGTTGCAGTGAGAATAATTAATATTATTTCCAACAACTTCTGCATGTCGTGTAATAATATTACTGATTTATTAATAATGTATTCAATCTTGGCTTAGGCCTACTACAGATGCAGTGTTAAGCAATGTAACTTAAGCATTTGGTTTTGCTTCAATTTTGCTAAACTTTGTTTCAATTTACATGAACTTTGTAATTCAGGTCGATCGTGGTCAGTAAAAAATATAATGTAAAACCGCTCTAAGAGAAATTGCGATGTCTTTCCGTCGGTTTGACATTAGTTAGGTGTCAGCAAAATAACTCAAAGTACAAATTCAAAGAAAATGTTTTTTTTTTTAATTTAAAAGACAAATCCACCGTTAATATAAACAATTAACGAATTAAATATCATAATTCTCATTACAGCTCTTCATTTAAGTACATCATTGTAAGTTCACTGCTGAACATAGGCTACGCCAAAAAGCGCAATAGAACATAGTCGTGCCTGAGCCGCCTGCATCTATTGACTTCCTGTATGTCATACCAAGTCGTCACTCATTCTAGTTTCCTTCTAGCCATTATAATCATCATGCGGTAACTGATATATCAGTGACCGCGGGGCTAAAATTTGGTAGCGATCACCAAATAGAGAGGAATACCAATCCTGAGCGGCGATTTTAGCTCCAGTCTAATGTCTATTAAATGCTCTGTTGTCTTCGTGCTCTAATCAAAGCTCCGAAAACTTTTAGCTCTTATTACAAAACCGCTTTAGTGCTTATAAGATTCTCATTCAGTGAAGGAGCTCGTGGAAACTGTCTATAAGGTCGTAGCTAAGTTTTGCAAGATTATTGGATACTACTGGGCTCGTCCCAGTAGTACCCAATAATTCTTCGATCACTTTCTTTTTTAATCTTATGGCTATTAGATGGGTAATGAAACCGCAGTCTTCAACAGATATCACAGTTTACTGGCAAGTTTACTGGCAGACAGATCTCTAAATTCATGCGGTGATACTTAAGCGAATTTATATAACTCGTGTTGAAGAAATGATTGAGCGGAACTAAGGCTCCAAAGTCTTTGTCAGTGATCTATCTGTTGGAAAGAACCGCCTGTATAAGTTGAAGACTGACTCCGGTAGCATCAATTCCAGGCAACTGGAAATCTGGAGTAGATTGCGAGGATCTACGGACAGTATATAGAGTCATTGAAGCAACACGCAAGTGTTAATAATGAACTAATAGCAATCGTTATTTGACATTATTACTGTGATATTGCAGAAGTCGGTTAGAGTGAATTAAGAATGGCTCTCGAAAAAAACGCCTCGGTCCAATCACTTAACTTCGATTTTTCTAAATAGTATTATTTAATTTCAAAAAATACGCAATACCTGGATCTTTTTACAATCTTATCTAAAAAATCAGGAGCAAAAAAATAACTAAAAAATTGATATGGACTTTCTAGGGCTATATCTTCGAGAGAATATTTTGTCTCGTTCTGAAAACGAATGCTATCTTCTTTTCAATCGAAAAAGCAGTTTCACAATCGTAATACGACGCCTGCTGGGAATATTTTGTGCAGAACCACTACCTTCATTCACTAAGGGAGGATTATAATCATTTCGCAAATAATTTCAAGAGGTAGATCACCTTCGTCCCAGATTTGAGGGTTATGGGAATCACCGGAACCCATTTGTTCTTCCTCGTGATTTTCTAAAGCAGCACGTATTTCATCAATATTTGGGTGATAATCTAATTCATAATCATCAGATTCTGCTTCGTCCTCCGATAAAATTCCACCTTCCAATCTTGCTAAAAGGTCTTTAATCTTATTATCTTTTATTTTTCTTTTTTCCATGCTCCAAGAGTGAGGGAAAAACATATAACAATCACATAACATACAAGCCTACTATAATAGCGAAAATGTACGAACGGGACCTACTAACTGCATAATGTATCATTTTTGATATAACTAAAATTATCATATTTTTTTATTAAACACCAGTAAAATTCACTTGAAATATGTATTTAATAGTGAAACAATACTCTTACCTGTATTTTTAATATTTTTCCGGGTCAGCTTTTGTGTTAAAATCACTCCGAAATAAATCAACAAAAAGTTATAATTCCACGAAAAAGGTTATGACAGACAAGAAAAAAGTTTTCATATTTACCGCCGAATTATTTAGAAAATGGTCATCGATTACTTAAACATTCTAAAAGATGATTAGGCAAAGGACATATTTAACATACAGCGTAGTTATATGTACGTAGCTTTACAAAATTATGAATCGATTATCTCATCGTATCATTTTTGATACAATATGCACTTAAGGGTTAAATAATATTTGGTAGAGCCAAGCTGCAGCTATATTATAGTTGTAGCATGAATGAGTCGGCTTGACTGGGGCAGGAGAACAGAACACTTTGTTCAGCAAACACTCGACTTCTGATAGAAGTTTGTTCCGATACTACGAGACGTTTTCCTCAGAAATTTTGGCACGGCCGGTGTACAGAGCATCACCAGTGCTATCATCTGCATAGCAATGAATGTTGCGGGTTTGTAGCATATCATTGATATGCAGAAGAAACAGCGTTAATAGGCTTGTAATCGGAGTTTGCACCGTCTACAATGACCTTGATGCTCCGATCTGCAAGAAAGTTTGTGATCCAATTTCAATCCACATACCATCGGGTGGCCATTGTGCTGGTTTGTTACCCTGTTATATATAAAAAGCTAGCTATTATTGTTTTCTATACCCTTCAAAACGGAACACAGTGATGCACGCTCTGCTGCTTGATATGAAATGCGAAGTTGAAGTAGGTGGTACTTATCCATACAGGCTAAATCATTATTAATATCGGTGAGAAAAAAATCTTAAGACATAATTAAGGTAATACCTTAATAAATGACCATCACGACGTCGTGAGTTCTGCCACGGGCTGTCCTCGTAACGGTACGCCTTACGGAGGATGGGCGCGCAGGAACACGACGACAGTTTATTGCCCATCGTGCGCGTGCCGCATTCGGCGCACTGCACTATGCTGCCTGCAATAAAGAGTGCTCTATTAGATGATTCCATAGTAATATATAATAATATTCCTGAATAAATTATGTAATTATGTTCCTGAATAATAATATATAAATTAGTATAAAAACTATTTGCCGCGCGTTAGTCTCGTAAAAACTAGAAAATAACTCAACAGAGTTGGTCCCTGAATGGCTTAGATTCACAATTGGACCTGGTAGATGGCGCTGTTGTCGAAATCCGGAAATCACCCATGCGAAGCCGTAGCGGGTTGCTATTATAAAAAAATTGATGATAGCCAATACGTTGTATATTTTTTCGGACTATTTTGTACCCTTACCTACCAACCTCGTGTTTGTTTCTAATGTTTTCAAAACGTATATAACTTTTTTATTATTATTCCTTATATATTTTTGTGAACATCAATTTAATTTTCATTAATATAATAGCTAATTTTAATATATTTTTATAGGCTTTGTTCCTAAGAAACAAAAGTACTTTCTAAATTTTCAAAGCCAAACAATTAAAAGTATACAGTGGAATCAACAAGACTCAATTCTTCTTCATTTATACACACATTGACATTTGTATACTTATTATTTGGTGTTGTGAATTTTATAAACTTACATAGTTTAAATTCACTTCGTCATATTTAAACGATTACCATTTAAGTTGAAAATCAATGTAATAACTTACACAAATAGTACTGTATCAAGGTTTTCCCCTACAAGATAAGGTAAGTGATTGAAAATAAACTAGGGATAGGAACGAACTGATAATATAGCCTTTAGGAACGCCCATTGAGGCGAGACATTTAATAAAATAAAATCATATATATTATGGACGCAATAGCTTTAACGAGAATTCCCCAAATATCTTATGTTTTTTTTTTATGTGAATACATAAAAAATAAACGAAATGATGCTTAAGAGGCAATACTTTACGAAATTTAAAATTTTTTGATAAAATCTTTACTTTTGTCAAAAAATTATTCAGCAGCAGGAGAAGAGTTTAAAGATTTTGTTGTTAAAAAGGGATAATTGGCGATTTTTTTCTCAAAAGCCGCAACTTCTTCTATATCCGATTAATCAAATAATTGTTAAAATATAATTTAAAATTTAAGTAGCGTAGTATAACCCTGTCTGTTTCACTATGTAAGGATAGGCCCATCTAAATATTTTACTCATAACTTTTTCATACAAGAAAAAGTAGCGCATCTGTCATAGTACAAACGTCATATTTTTATTTATTTATTTATTTACAGTTTATTTATACCTTTAAAAGAGCAATTCTTGTATGTTTATATATAATCGGAATCTCGGAAACGGCTCCAACAATTTTCATAAAATTTAGTGTCCAGGGAGTTTCAGGGGCATTAAATCTTTTAAAATTTTAGAAAATGTCTTTCTGCCCGTGTTTTCAGGTAATGAAAAACTGCTACAATATAAGAAGGTAAACTTTAACACCGTGTTAATGCTCGTAATAGCTCAAGTGGATATCGAGCGGTCGCGAAATCGTATTTCCTTGGTTCGCGTCCTGTCTTTGGTTCGACTTTTTTCCTTTTTTTTTTCAAGTTCCCTTCTTTTGTGAGAAAATCTATTATTTCGAGCCCTTTTTTTAGTGTTTTTTAAAAATACGAAAATTTGAATTAAAGTAATTGCACTCATGATTTTTTATTCAAATAACCATTTCAGTTTTTTCTATTATGTCAATAAGATCGAAAAATATTATTACTATTATTACTATGACTTAATGCCATATGGCATTTTCCACCAGCCAATTGGAAAGTTAGTGGGAGATGTGTGTACTGCAGTGGGATAGGATAAAACTAAAATAGATAAATTTTACCCCCGTCGTGTACTGCAACCGTGGAAAACACACTAACACACACACACACACACACACATACACACACCACACACACACACACACACAAACACACACACACACACACACACACACACACACACACACACACACACACACACACACACACACACACACACACACACACACACATACACACACACACACACACACACACACACACACACACACACACACACACACACACACACACACACTAACACACACAAACACACACACACACACACACACACACACACACACACACACACACACACACACACACACACACACATACCATCGACCCGAATCGCCTGCTGGTGACCAATCATATCAAAACACGACGTAACCAGGGTCGGATTTCGTAGTATAATTATCCTAATTGTACATTATTTCATAGTTTGTAGTATATAGTATCGTTATCTAAGCGAAAATACCATAATTTTCCTAAAGATCGACTTGTATTATTATTGGGTCCTTTTACATTTTAATATTAACCCTACGATATCACAAATTTCTGTATTGTACATGAGTATCGAGTTTTTTTTAATAAAATTAGAATTAGCTCCCTTTCTGGTCAATCGATGTTCAATCGATGCATTTATGTTGCATCCTTGATACAACTATATTGAGGGGCTATCACGATAAAAACTCTATCCAGAAGCAATCGGTTTGAAAACAGAATTTCAAAATATTTTATGAATCAATTTTTTGGATTCAATTAAGCAGATATGGTTTCTTTTATACTCTTTTCGTTTTACCCTTATTGGATATAAAATATATTAGGTACCAATATTCAAAATGTAACTTACACTAAGTTGTTTAGACAAAAAGTAAACAGAAATAAACATAAAACCGTCAAAAAACGCAACGTATAAATATACTAGACGCGTGACTCCAAAATCCCGGCATATGGGAAAAAAGAAACATGAAACGTCAAACGTGAAATAATTTTTTTAAAATAGTATAATTTTATTTTCCATGTACAATATTTTTGAGGGTATGAATCCAACCCTGGCCTAATCTTGGTAACGTAACTAAACTAACTGTAAAATAAAACTTTAAAAATGCGTTTAATATAATAATTGAATTGTAACAAAATTAATATAAGGTTATTTACCGATGATACGATATCCCATGTTTTTTTTTAATCTTTGTATCGTAATTTTTGCGTTATTTTACCACGCAACTAGACATATTTGTGACAGGAAAATCTGTCCTGCGCGCGCACTACTGTCGGCCGATTCGCGTTGGCCCTAAACTGTAATTTCATGGCCAGCGCACTGGTCCGTTTTAGTTGTACGGTCGGCCCGGTCCTTACGCTAGTAATATATAAGTCAATGTATGTATTATACTGAGTCATTTCAATTTTGTGTCAGTTTTAGTTTTGTTGCCTTAGCTTGCTGCTACTTACAATTTTCAAATATTATAGAATATTTTTACTACCTCGTTGAGCTCGTGATTTTAAAACACGACTACTAATCCTCATGATCAGTTCGAATTTTGGGTCAGGACAAAAAAATCAGTTATTGATTTTCATCTGTCAAGTAATTCTCAGTAGCTTTCCGGAGTCAGGAAGTTGGCGGTGTCTCACTCCCGTGCCTCGAAAAGTACGTAAAGCCGGTGGCCCTGCGATCTCTCCGGTCGTGAAGGTTTATCGTCACATCGGACCACAGATTACCCGGGGGTAATCTGTGCATCGGACTATGTCAATGATGCAATACACTCGGTCACTATAATCCTATCTTGCGCCGATGGCTAGTCTCCATTGAGACAAGCCGCCGTGACCGAAATTCGGTCTGGAGGAGAATATGTTTTACATATTTTCTACGCACTATATATTATTGAATGGCTCATATTTTTGTCTACTCTTATGGATTACTACTGATGTTCATTCATTAATTGCGGCTGTTTAAGGAGAATGTTTTTGAAGTAAATATTATAACTAATTCACGACTTAATAATATTAAATAATAATAAGACAGTATGGTTTTTATAAGATTTTTTCATTATATTACTCCAAAACCTCCCCATATTTATTTATTGGTACAAACACAACCTTTACACTTCTCTATTTTTGTGCATGTAAGGATTTCCAATTCTACAGTTCTGTCGACAGATGGGCTCAAAATATTAATATGTTCTTTTACCTGATGCTGTTTTAATGACTGATATTAAAGATCGGCTGTGTAATAATTTTTCTTAATTTAAGGAATTGACGTCTTGGTGATTTCTGAAATTAAGCATGAAACTATAATCTTCTGGCTAATATTCAGTAATACATAGGATTTGTATCTTGTTACTAATTAACCGTATAGAGGCGGTGTAAAAGTATCCACGCCCCATATTATCACGTGGGTGTCGTTAGAGGCGACAGAGGAAAACGACCAGGAGATTGGCAGCACCATCTTCTTAGTATCAACTAAAAAGATAAAAAATTGCAGTGGCTAACTCGCTTGCCAATCGCGGCAACTATGGCAAATATCCTCCCTTTGAGACAATCTATGGGGGAGCCCTATGTTTAGGAATGAACTTTTTATGGGCTGTAACAGTATTAATTAAACACAATAAAATATCCACATCTTTGATCATCATGCCTTATACATGTGTATGACAGATTTTATTATTATGCTTCTGTAAAATTATAAATATGCCTGTTTGTCGGCTACATTCTTAATTATTTCAACCATACATTTCAACTTTGTCTAGGGATATTTCACGTTAATATAATGTTAAGTACTGGCTATATACAAAAAATTGAAATGTCAGTTTTTCAATGTTCTGTATTCCAAATTGAAATTTTAAAAATGACTGATGGCGGCAGTAAAATGAAATTAACAGTATGATTAATTTTACTTCCCCGTGTGTCTTAGTTGTTTTAAAATGAAATATAATTTTTTTACAAAACGTCTTAATCGATTAAGATGCGGTTTGCGGCGTTCTAAAGATCTCAATGTGGAATAGATTTGATGATAATATGAACTAATAAGGACGAGTAGATTTTGAGAAATCTCAAAAATAAAAAATTTGAAAAACTGTTTTTTTGAAATAAATTTTAAACGGCTTTATCGATCGATTTAAAAAGCTAATCAGCTCTTAACCTTAAAAATAACGTCGAATGCCGTTTGAAAATAATAATGGATTCATTCGTTCGTGAGATATCGAAGGAGAAAGAATTTCAAAATAAC